AGTCCATTGTAGACATGCGTGACTGCATTACCAGTAGGGCGCCCTGCGCCTACTGGTCCCTTGCGTTTTTTGTACGACCGTGACGATACCCAGTATCGCCACGTCGACCTTGGCTTTTAATGTACTGGTGCCGTACATCACGTGCGTAGTGACCCATGTTTCCGCACCGGAAGCATCGCACGTTGCTTCCCTTGTTCTTCTGCTATCCGACAGCAGATGCATACGAAAGATCCATTGGTTCAGGACCTTCCGTCTTAGCAGCCGGCCGAGACGGGCGTGGCACGTTCGTGTGCAGTTTAGCCTGCTTCAGGCTAAACTGCACACTTGCGACACGTTTCCGTCGGGTCTCGGAGTCCCCTTACCGCTTTCAGTCGGCTCATTCCCCAATTTTCCTGCAACCTCTCCCACGCCTACGACCGACTTGACTCAAGACGCGCCTTCGGCTCCTTCTTCGTCCGCTTCGGGCGCCCCAGCTGAGAGGCCGACACGCCTCCGCCGGCCGCTCCCCAGAGCTTCGTCTTAGGCTCGGTCCCGGATACCGCCAGGACCCAGCTGGAGGAGGCGCGTGCGCTGGTGGCTCTGGGGAACAGCTCTGGTGGCATGCTTCCGCCTCTCTCCGAGACCGAGTGGCGTCTCCGCGACTCTCTCCTGCGCCCCCAATATCCGCTGACTTCGGGGATCTACTGCTCGGGCGTGCAGATCGTTTCTCGACAGTATGTCGGGCCTCAGGTGGAAGATGGCCTCGGAGTTCAGTCCGTCCAGGTTTCGCTCCCTACCGGCGATGGGGCTGAGGTGGACTTGGCGACAGCTCTGGGGCCTGTGACGCTCGCCCCGCCGTTCACCTACCTTCCTGCGTCCGCGGAAGACGTGCGAGTTGTCGCTTCCGGGAACTCCGAGGGCTTGAAGATGCGCGACGTCGGGGGCCTGGTGCACGTAGCGGTTCGGGTCCCGTCGCTCTCGGCTGGGCAGCTCGACACGTTGTCGCGACTGGTCGTCGGGTACGACCGCGCTGCCACAGATATTCTGTCCCCCGCGCATCTCCAAGGGGCTCCAGTGGCGGCGGTCCCAGGACAACGCGCCCACGCCGCGGAGCTTCATGCAGGTCCTCTGATCGATGCGTTCGGTGCAGCAAGTTTCGGGCGTCGCGTGCTGAGCACGTTAAACGCGCTTCGCCTCGCCCTAGATCACATCGTGACCCTGGAGCCTCTCCGGAACCTCGCTACGACCGCGGACCCGGGGAGCGCTACTGCGAACGCATTGCTGACCATGGCCTTACATCGGTCCCAGGACCAATTGGCGGAGAGCCATCGAGAATGGGAGGTGGCGCTACGCGAAGTAGAGGCGCCTACGACGGCGGCCCTCAGGGCTATAGTGGCCCGGACTCGAATCGCCTTGATCCACGAGCACCAGGGTTGGTCCCAGGCCGAGGAACGTCTGGAGAGACTGGGGGTG